GTTGATACAAGGTCACCACTATTGGACAGCAAATGTCTTCTGAGTACAAATATCCAGGAAGACTGGATTGTCAAACCTTCTACTTTCCTTTTAAACCTTTCTACCTATTCTCAAATCCAATGAAAGAATTAACTGGATAATAAGCATCACTGGAATAACTGTTTTTACTTATTTATTTAGCTATTTGCTTGTTTATTCATTTATTTATTTGTGTGTGTGTGAGAGAGAGAGAGAAAGAAAGAGACAGAGAATGTGTACAGGAGTGTGCGTACACTTATGTACCTCACTGCGTGTGTGGAAGTCATTAGACAGCTTGCAAGAGTTAGTTTTCTGCTTTTACCCTGGAAATGGAACTCAGACTGTCAAGTATGGTGGCAAGCACCCATGATCGTCCTAACCTTTTCAGCTCTCCTAGACCACACTTCTTGTATTCAAACATTGAAATAGGTGCTTGTCAGTACCAAATGTTTTCTTTGTTTCCATTTCCATTTGGCCAAACTGTTAAAAGACAATCCTTAATCCCAGCAGTCTTTTCTAGCAGGTGGTGTCCACCTCTGCCTCCAGAACTCCAGCCCAAACAGTCTGCTGAGGACTGCTGAGGAAACGGAAGAACGTACTTGTGACTCAGACTGGTGAGTAGGAGGATTGTCATTGTTATTTCAACTCCTGCCAGATACAGGCAACTCTTCTTTTCCCTGTCCCCAGATAACTAAGTAAAGATCCTTCTTAAAAACCTCTCAATATCCATATGGTTTCTCTAGTGTAGGGAACAGGGACTGTCTCTGACATGAACTCAGGGGCTGGCTCTTTGATCACCTCCCCCTGAGGTGGGGAGCAGCCTTACCAGGCCACAGAGGAAGACAATGCAGCCAGTCCTGAGGAGACCTGGTAAAATAGGGTCAGATGGAAGGGAAGGAGGACCTCCCCTATCACTGGACTTGGAGAGGGGCATGGGAGGGAGGGTGGAATTAGGAGAAAATGAGGGAGGTGACTACAGCTGGGATATAAAGGGAATAAATTTAATTAAACAAACTCACCCAGGCTTAGGTCTTGACCAATAAGAGCCAAAGAACCTGGCCACCAGGTGTGATTAACAGGTCACAGCACAGAGTGGAATTGTTGTGGTCAAAGCAGTGTCAGACACGTGAAAGTTACCAATCAAATTTATTTTTAGAATGCATAATCCCCCTTGAAACTGTCTCTGTGGATGTAGATAATCATTGTGAGGTAGTTATGAGTACAAGCCAAGGTATTGATTTTCAGAGTAGATGGCAAAAAATACCAGTTTGTCTTCTCTTTTTGTTAGCTGTAGGCTCATTGTGGCCACACTGTTTGTTTCTCTGTTGCCAAATGTTCTCAACAACATAAATAGTCATCAGGTGTAGCTCCGTGGAATATCGTTAAACTAAAACCATCAACCGCTTATACAAAACAATTCTTAAAAGATGAACTCCCTCCAGCTATAAAGGAAGAAAAGATGAAAATGTTCTGAAGGAACAGACAACGTAGGTTATGTCGAATTGTGGCAATTTATGTTTACCCATGTAAAATACTTCAGAAACATTTCTTTTATTCTTCAAGTATTTCCCTCATGCCCATCCAGCTAGCTTATTTTTAACTTTTCTATGCAATTTAGAGACTTTTGTGTCCATAAATTAGGATTTGTGAGGATGCAATCAGCAACGTTTTTATCCCAATACTGTAAAAATCAGAAAAAAAAATTATGGATTGAGATCAGGAAAGAGCTTGAACGCTAACAAAGCAATAGGTTCTGCTAGGACAAGTAAAGGAATTCTTTAAGAGGCACGGACCATTGCCGATGTACGTTGTGGACATTCTGTGGGCAAAGCTTTGTTTGCCAGGAACCTCTGTATACCCTAGTCATCCCTTCAGCAAGTGAGAGCTCACCTGGGAGATGGTAGCATAGGTGTGCTGGGGGCAAAGCTCAGAACATGATATCATTTCTGCCATCAGAGAGTAGAAAAAAGATGTTAAGATGATGTTGGCCGGTGAAAGGATGACAAGTCTCTGCCACATTGTCTGCTCTGGGAGGTGGAGGATGCATTTTATACACGTGACTGTTGGCATATTTGAAACAGGGGAGTCATATCAATCAAGGACTTTTGTACTCTGAATTCTACTATGTAGACAAAAGACTATGGGGGTGCAAGACTGAACTCTACTATGGTGGTAGAGGTGAGGGATGATGAATTTTAACTCTATAAGTACAGATGGAGAGACCTGGTAATATTTTGGTCAGTTGTAAGTACTGTTATGTATGCTCTTCTATGGGGCTTAAAGAGGGCAAGTTATATGCCTATAACAGGTGGTAGAAGCTAGAGGCAAGCTGATTTTCAGAGTGATTAACATTGCAGTGTAATATCCAGTGAGCTTTGTGTGAAGAGATGCTGATTTAATGAGAATTATAAAATAAACTTCAAAGACAAAGATCTACCTTTACATTTGGGATTGCATGTGTTATGCTGGAAATATTCAATTCTGAATTTTACACAATATAGCAATTAGCAGCATCAGTGAATAATTTCAAAGAATGCCATTTATAAGACATTTTCTCTGTGACTAGACCATTCTGTATAATGCACTTGAAGGACTTAGTGGTATTTAAAGATCATGTGGTATTGGATAACATATATAAATAAAAATACCTGCATAAATGTTCTCTTTTGCAGAAAACACGAATCTTCATGCTTTCCAAAATAATGTTTTCTCATTTTAGATAAATATTGTCTCTTCTTGCCTTTCTTAACAATAGACCCCAATAATACAAAAAGATCCCAACAATACTGATGGGATAAATAACTGTGTACCTGTCAGCAAATTCTAGAATTACTGTAGTGTAAGGAAATAATTAAAAAAGGGTCTTTATTAAAACTCCACTTGTAATTTTTTTTGAGAGAATCTAAGCAATTAACATGTACCTTCTAAAATGTATTTTTCTTTTAAGTATCTTAAATTTCATATGTAGTATTTATATTATGTTTGGGAATGTTCAGAATTTCATCTATGGTGAAATAAAACCTATGTTGATTATTATATTATGTCAGACCAGTGAAAAGCATGGGTCCCCATAGACTAGCAAAATCCTTATATGCCAATTAAAAGATGTGTTTCCAGCGGGGGGAAAAGAAATAAGACATAAAAAGGCTTACCATGGTATCATATATAGAGAGCGTCAGCTCCCTTAGACGCAAATTTTAAATACGCGTTGAAGCTATGTTAGCATTGAATCTTCAAAGTGCTATAAGATATTTAGACGTAATAACAAGCACCAGAGATTACTATGTAAAGCAGTAACCATGGTAACAGCTGGAATGAGCCAAACCGATGTCTGTGTGCCAACACTGCTGTATTTAAATACAGCAGCAAGTGAAGGTGACCTACAAAGATGCAACTGTTCCGCGTTTGTTTTCCACATGGTAGAACGCACAGAGGACACTATGCACCTTTACAATTCTAACTCTCACCGGGAAGAAAGCAGGAGCGTGCGAAGAAAGCAAAGAGTGCTTTTGCTCCTGTGATAGTTTATTCAGAGGAGATTTTTAAGATAGCTGTATGTGGCAGATGCTTAGGTGTTTATCATGATGATGTTAGTGTCCTGCAATGAACGCTTTATAAATTTTCACTCAAAAATAGCATGAAGAATTAATGAAAGCAGTAAGGTGAACATTGCTGTGGCCAATTATTGATAGCATATTCAATACCTTTAATAAAAACAAGTTAGACTAAAATGCACTTTATGAAATGAGAGATGACTCCTTTGCAACCTCTGCATTTTATTCCGCCTTTATCATAAAGGAGCAGAGTAAAGGAAAACAGTTTCTGTTTGTAAACTGAGCTAAGGTGCTCATTTTTTTATTCATGCAATTATTGGCTATGTGACAGATGAACATATACAATAAAATTGGACCTGCCATGCATTGGCTGCATTTTCAGCAAATGTTACTTTCTTTTGTTAATCTAGAAGAAATTCATGTAAGACACAGGAGAATCTGGTTCTTGGGCATTTCTTCCTCAAGTGTCTTTCCCGCTGAGTGTATCACCACTGAGGCTGCGGCCCTTTCTCCTGTGAGTACAGTTTGGTTAGCCCTGCCTCCTGTCCCTTTGTCTCGCACCACTAATCTGTACCCCACAGAGCTGACAGAGCAAAATATGTATTAGTTTACATAAAGCCATGCAGGAACATGCCCAACACATGATAGGTACAAAGGAAGTATCATTGTTATTATGGCTAGCATTAGCTGAAGAGAGGGGCTTGGTTCAGTTCTCATTTCTTTTTTATGTTATTATTTATTGTTATTATTTTCAAATTTTCACTTTATATCCCAACTGTAGACCCCTCCTTCATCTCCTCCTGATCCCACCCTCCCTCTCTCTTCCTTCCCTATCCTCCTTCCCTAGTTCACTGATAGGGGAAGTCCTGCTTCTCTATTGTTTAACCCTAGCCTATCAGGTCCCATCAGGATTGGCTTTATCCTCTTCCTCTGTGGGCTGGCTAAGTCACCCCACCAGGGAGAAGAGATCAAAGAGCAGGCAAGCTAGTTCATGTGAGAGACTGTCTTTTCTTCTCTTACTAGGGAACCCACATGGAGACTGAGCTGTCTATGGGCTACATCTGAGCAGGGTGTCTAGGTCCTCTCTATGCATGGTCTTTGGTTGATGTCTCTGCAGTATCACCTGGGCCCTTCTTTTGGGGGGCTTTATTGATCTGTTTGTGGGGTTCCTGTCCCCTCGGGGTCCTTTCATATCCCCCTTCTTCCATAAGACTCCCTCATTTCAAAGTGAGGTCTTGTGGTTTAGTCAGTCTAAAACCTGTGAAGTGGTGCTTATAATTCCCAGTCTATTAACTGTGAAATTCAAAATGCTATCTCTTCCTTAAAAATAAATTAACTTAAAAAATTAAAATTATGATTAGCAAAAAAGTGAAGTGTTTCTCGCAATGGTGGGACACCTTTTTATGGTGGAATAAAATGGGGTCTTACCTCGTCAAGGAAGTGGTAAAGTAGTGACGTTTGTTATGCTGTGTTCTCAAAGGGCTGGTGGTATGTTCTGGCTTCTTTCTGTTTAGAGAGAAAGAGAGAGAGAATTCATGAATTAATGTCTTCCCACACATGCCAATCATATCTTTTGAATTTGGGTAAGTATGAGACTAAAAGATAGATTTCCTAATGTCTTTATTTGTGACCTGCTCTATCTCAGACATGGGGCACAGAGCAGTGATCATACAAACTAGCGAATGCTCTTCATGCCTTTTTGCATCACTCTAACAATGCTTTTTTAAGGGTAACATCCAAGGAAGAGTAAAATTTTAAATTGTTCTCAGCTAATAAATAGCAGAAGATTTGTGTAATCTCCCCAAAGAATATGTTCATAATTGTTAATTATATCTAGCAAGCTTTAAAAGAGACTGGGCCTCTAGCCCAGTCTGCATTGATTTTTATGAAGCACAGGATTGGAGAGGGATTTTTTAACAACTAATTAAATCTTCTCCATAGAGTCCCACATTTACTTTGACATTCCAAACCCTCAAAGTCACTCTGTGTTAGCAATTCTGCCAAAAAAAAAAAAAAAAAAAAAAAGACACTGAGTGTCATATGAACTACTCCCCACTGAAGTGGTTCCTGGAAATAAACAGAATTACTGGAAGACACCGGGCTTTTTTCTACCTTACGAGCTGTCCGGGTGCAGTCACCCTCACATGGGGGCAAGACTACAAAAATGTACAGCGAGTGAATCCCTGTCAGGTCCAGCCCTTATGCACTGGGTTTCTAAAACTGCGTATTTACGCATTTTTCCAGAGGACTGAATATGTTCATCCCAGTAGAATATACCTTATCCCATTTCCAAGGAAGATGTTATGTTATTGTTAAAAACCTTCAGACCCATATGGGTAACCACTACATATCGTTAGAATCCAGAAGAAAATTCAAACAGAAGATATGTATGAACTAGTTGTTCTTTCACCTATTCTGTAATATTTTCTTTTGATTATGACTCCAGAGATCAAATTGGGGCTATCTACCCCGCCCCTTTCTGGACCTTTAAGGAGTACATTCACATAAATACAGGAGCAGACAGGACTTTGATTCAAAGCAACAAATATTGATTGTGGTTTGTATTTCTTTTATGTTAGCTCATTTGACCTGTGAACACTCATAATGTATAAGAGCAAGTATGTCTGCTGACAGATACTTAAACTGAAAAGACTTAACATCTAAATAACCATAAGGAAAATTCCACAATCAAAAAGACACATGATAGTATATGCCATTCACTGCAAAAATTCAGTAACCATTTCAGTAAGAATGATTGCTAAAATCTTGGCACACAGGTTTTTGTTCTTTTTGAGAAGTATCTGGGTTGCCTAAAGAGATAACAAGCTATCTATCTTTTATCTATCTATCTATCTATCTATCTATCTATCTATCTATCTATCTATCTATCTCTCACCTATCTGTCATCTGTCAATCATTTGCCCATGGAAGAATCACCAGGAGAAATTCATGCAGAGTGATATATGTAATAATTTAAGATCACTTAAAATTGGATTATAAGTAAATGCTTAGCTTGGCTTTCCTTTTGTTAATTTGGTTTTTTGTTTTTCTTGTCTGTTTTTCTGCCCAGTCTGCCTGTCTTTCCCAGAACTCACTAGGTAGGAGGTAGCCTCAAAATCACAGAGATCAGACATCTGCCTGCCTGTCTCTGCCTCCAGAGTACTGGGATTAAGGAAATGCCCACCATTTCTAACTTCCAGGTTGGTTTTAGAACAAAAATAAAATGGTAGAACAGAGCTCAGGATCCTGTTCAGATAAAGGAGTCTTCGAATATTTAACAAATGTGTGTTAAACAAAATATACTTTTTTCTCTTTTTTTTGCATTGAGATCATTTATTTTATTTTATTAATTACACTTTATTCATTTTGTATCCCCCCATAAGCCCCTCCCTTTTCCCTTCCCTATCCTGCCCTCCTTCCCCCTTCTTCACGCATGCCCCTCCCCAAGTCCACTGATAGGGGAGGTCCTCCTCTCCTTCCTTCTGATCTTAGTCTATCAGATCTCATCAGAAGTGGCTGCATTGTCATCTTCTGTGGCCTGGTAAGGCTGCTCCCCCCTCAGGGGGAGGTGATCAAAGAGCAGGCCAATCGGATTATGTCAGAGACAGTCCCTCTTCCCATTACTATGTAACCCACTTGGACACTAAACTGCCATGGGCTACTACTTTTTTCTCTTTAAATTCAGTATTTCCTTTAATGTTAGAAAATGCTATTTTTGCACATTGCCTTTATTTTCCAACAAGAATACATGCATGTGTGTATGTGTTTAAGTACATACTGTGTTTTTGTGTGGCTGTCTTTTACTACTGTAACAAGGAGATGAAAAGAATTCTCCTGAGCAAAGTTCAGGAAATTAAGGTTCATGAGATGGCTGCATTCTACTGCCATCTCTTTTCCCAAATACAGTGTTGCTGGTTCTAGCCATAGGGACATAAAGCTCAAAATGCTTACCATTTGGGTACTTGTGTTCTTACAACAGCCAGTAGAAAAGGGCATGTTGACAGTGTGAACAATATTGCCAAAGACTGTCCTCTCAAGCCTTCCAAAACTGAACTCAGCAGTTACACATGAAAGTAAAATTTCAGTTCTAAAGATATAAAGGACCAACTTCATCCCCAAAGAAATGGGAAGGTATTGACCACAGGGTGAAGTGATTATTAGGAAACTTGGTGCCCCCACCACAAAAATAGCACTCCATGTACCCACAATCTCCACTTTTGCTGGGATTTTATTATACAAAAGAAAATGACTGCCTTTTTTTTTTTTTTTTTAGACTTCAATTTCTGTGAGATATGTAAATGCCATCTGGGTTTATTTTATTTTTTTTAAAGCAACTTATGAACTATTCCATAAGGGACATTAACTTGAATGGTCAATTTCAGTTAATCTCGTACAGACATAATTGTCACCTTTAATTCCATAGCCAAATGGTTAAACTAACACAGCTTTTATCATGGATATTTATTTATCAGTTTTAACATCAGACACTTCCCATACTGTGGAATGTAAGCCAATATTAGCAGACATTTATCGACTCTTATTTGCCCGTGTTCTGAGTACTTCATACAAATTAATTTATTCTTCACCATGTTCCTTTGACTATTATATCCCCAGTTTATATATGGGAAAACAGGACACAGTAGTGTAAGTACCCATTCCAGGCATACACTTAGAAAGTGGCTAAACATTTCATCTGTGAACCAGCTCTTGCTATTAGTAGTCACAGGGGGCTGGGTTTGGGTCTCCATCTCTGTCAAAGGACAATCTCAAGCATAAAAGCTCAGGGCTCCCCCCAGAAGTGCAATTTCACCCATGGCAGCTTTCAATTTACCAGAAACAACAAGCACATTTATTGTTCAGTACATCCAGTTTCTTGAACAAACTGAAATCTACTCGGCAGCGGCTCTTCCTCTTGGTTGCTCCGTTGTCTCTATCGGGTTTGCCTCTGCCACTTCCCAGGAGCTGTGAGTGCTGGACGCAAACATTGCTGAGGATCATGGCTGACAAAGTCGTTTGGTAAACCGTTACATTTAAGACCTAGTCTGCACAAGGTAGAGAAGAGTGTGCAGGTGCATGCTTTACCTGGCCTCAAATGCTGAAGTGGACACAACATTTAAGAAGGAATACAATTGAAGTAAACCTGTTCAGTTCCACAGGAAACTAAGTTTCCTGTTAGGGCACTCATGTCTAGGGGTGCATATGTGAACATGGCGGCTAGTGGCCTTTCCGCATTGCACTGGAGTGTATTTTTTTGAGACAGGGTCTCTCCCAGGGCCTGGCGCTCACTGGTTCAGCAAGATACCCCGGCAGGAAAGCCCCAAGGATCCTCTTGTTTTCACACCGATGCTTGAACTTGGTGGTGTGGTTCAAATGAGAAAGTGTTCCCACGTGCTTTTGAACACTTAGTTCCTAGAGGACAGTACTGATTGGGGAGGTTATGGACACTTTAGGAGGTGAAGCCTTGCTGAAGGAAGCCTCTGGGGTAGGCAATGAAAGTTTATAGTCTAACCTCACTTCCTATTTCTCAGTCTGTGCTTCCTGTGTGTGGACAAAAATGTGGTTGTTCAGCTTCTGACTCCTGATACTATTATGCCTCCTTTGCCTCTTACTATGCCTTCCCTGTCATGATGGGTTCAATTCTTCCCTAAGACAAAGTAAAGCCCTTTCTCCTTTTAAGTTGCCTATTTTACCACCTCAAAAGAAAAGTGACAATACAACTGTAATTTTGACATGGGTGCTTGGGACTGAACTCCGGTCCCTCAAACTTGAGGGCACCTTCTTCAGTTCTCTAAATTAACTTGATAGGCTCCTTTATGTTTGGATTGTATGCCACATATAACCCGTGAGGTTAGAATGGGAACTTCATGATAAAATCTTCCATCTTAAACTTGGTTGTACTCCTCCTTTGCCTTTGAGCTGTTTCCCCACCCCAAGTCCCAACGATCACTTAGTTGTTTAATGTTACGTTTGCTAGAATTTCTCAGACAAGCACAACAGACATGGTTGAAGTTGCTGGGGGACTGTGTGGTCGCTAAAACCTTTCTGCAATTGGAACAACCAGCATTAGCTGTTATTCCATCAGCTTTAAAATGAACACTAGAACTGTTTCCTGCTCATTTATCAGTCCACTTTATGTTGTTTTGAATTGTCCATATAACTCAGTGCACTTGTCAAAAACTAAAGATTTTAGCTACCGAGGACTGGACTGCTGTAGTTTTTAAATAGATTTTCAGTTGCCAACATTGCCATCTAGTCTAAAAAGCTACTAAACCATTTCTACTCCCTAATATGTTTAAATCACTTCTCTACACATTTGTAGATGTAAGAAAGCATGCAGAACCAAAGCCATCAACGGTTGAGAAACATCTCTCTTTGGGTTACTGTGATAGTTGTTTTTCAAACATTATGTTTATTTTGAATGAAATATTTGTCAAATATGCATACTTTAAAGAAATAAGAATTGTTACGAAAATCCTTATTCACAAAAAATATGACTTCATCTGAG